AAAACCTAGTAATTTCCATCGAAGTTTACAGAAAACTGCACCCAATTAATATCGGTCGATGTCAACCGTCAATCGATATTTTTTCAAATTAAAAACGGTTTAACGTAAAAAAAATTGACGTTAGCTACACACACACTGCTGGGAGCCTGGTGAGTGGTGAGTGTTGACTGCTGACTTCAGTGCTGAGTGCTGACTGCTGAGGGCTGAGTGCTGAAGTGCTGAGTGCTGAGTGCTGAATTTTGAGTGCTGATTGCTGATTCTGAACTGCTGAGTGTTGAGCTGCTGACTGCAGTGAGACGAGTGACAATCTGCACTCTGCAGTCTGCACTCAGCAGTGCTGGCTGCGCTTTATGATCAGTCTGCAGTTTAGTATTTTTTTATGTATGTACATAGTTGGGGGGGAGGGGGGTTTATCCAAAAACACATGTGTGATGTGTCATAGCCATAAATTTAAAAAAATAGGCTATGCAATATGCATGTGTATATAAATATCATGACCCTCGCTCTCTACTCTAGTAGAGAGAGAAGAAATAAAATAATGTGCCTGATAAAGGGACCTATCAAACTTAATACTCAAAAGGACACTTTATTGTTTCTAGACTTCTGGTTTAAGTAGTGTGACAAGTAAACAAAAGGTTCATAGATGCCATGTGGCTTAAACCCAGGAGGCAAATTAAAAACCAAGTGCTAGGGTTTACATGAATGAAATTAAACTGAGATTTTAAGTCCAAAACCTGATCGGACTATTGACCGAAGGATAAATATATATATGTAAATATTTATTATTTACATAAATATGTATTTACATTTATTTTGCATTTTTGTTTGTTTTTTGTTTTTTGTTTTAAAAAGACAAAAGTGTGGGACTGTGGTTTTATGTGGTTTTACAACTTACATGGTTTTATGTGCCTTATTCCCAAAGTTCGGTCCGTATTCTCCAAATTTAAAATCGGCCAAAAATGGATATCACATATTTTGGCGCCAGAAATCCAAATTTCCAAATCCGGTATCAGTAGCTTTATTCAAAGGTTTACGATACAAGCAGTCTTTGGGAACTCAAGACTCCGGCCACTATGCCTGACATCCTCGCATATTCAGACTCCCGCCGCTATGCCTAGCATTCTCGCCCCCGCGAAATACGCCCACCACTCTCACCCCCCGCTGAATATACCGAACACTCTCGTACATCTCTTACTATAAATACCTAGTAAGCATTATTCCGTTAGAAAGTCCAGTAGAAAGGGCGGGAAAGAAGGCATCCTGCGCTACGAAATACCGCCAGGTGACTCTCCTCCTAGGGTTCAGTTTTTGGCCCCCACCTGTTCATTGATGGGGTCCACCGTGGGTCCACCGTGACCGTCAGGCGGCTCAACATGTCCGCAGGACCGTTGTCAATACCCCTGACGTGCAACAGCATAACATCAATGTATTCACAGACCTCCTGCCAGCGCCCTTACCTCCGGCCCCTCGGTTCTGTGGACAATTCATACTTACGCCATATGAACAGCAAGGCCCCATGGTCCGAGAATGCAAGCGCTTATACATCGGCCAGAGCTTGCAAATGCCATACACCTGCGCCAGCCGCTCCTTTTCCGTAGCATGGTAATTCAGCTGGACAGGTGCAAACTTCGAGGAAAAATAAGCTACCGGCCACAGCTTGCCGTCCCGGAGGACATATGTAACGTCCCCCACACGCATGTGCTCGCATGCATCCGCGTATTGGTACAAAAGTTCTTCCGGCCTTGGTTGGACCAGAGTCGCACACTTCCTAAGTCGTTCATCGATGAGCCGAAACGCCACCTCCTGCTGCGACCCCCATTCAAACACCGCACCCTCCTTCATAAGCTTGGAGATGGGCTCCAGTGTCTGCGCGAAACCATCAGCATAGTTCTTCAAGAACGCCACCTTGTGATACCAAGACCGCACACGGTCTTGGTTATTACAGCGGTTCACCTCAAGTAACGGCGCCAGGCGGTCCGCCGCACTCGTGACCCCTACAAAGCCAGCCTATCGACCAATAACCACCCGGGCTTTCCTCAAACCTAACTGCACATCATGCTACTCGCAGAGGTCCAAGAACGCATCCAAGCGCCGCCAATGCTGCTCCGCCATATCTAACGCTATGTCAATATCGTCAATTTACCACGTAACACCTTCCAACGCATCAAATATCCGGCTGAGGACCTCTTGGAACCGCCAAGAGGCCTCTGCCAAATCAAAAGGGAGTGCGGTGTATCGGTAGCGACCCCAATGAGTCATAAACATGAGTATATCCCGACTGCACTCGTCTAACTCCAACTGGGCAAACACATTACCACGGTCCAACACCGTCACCCAATGCTTACCAGCAATATGTCGAAACATATCCTGCTCCGATGGTATCCCAAAGAGTCCCGGCTCCAACTTCTCCCGCCACTTAGCAAAATTGGTGCATAATCTCCAGTTCTCCTTGCGCGTAGGCTCTGTACGGGGGTTTTTGCGTGCCATCACCGTCTTGGACAACCACAGAACATTACGGTCGGTCTGCTTCTCAATAATGACCTGGGCGACCATCTCATCACTCTCCTCCTTCTGCGCCCGTTGCTGAGTGTGGTCTTTATCCAAATTGTCCCTGTAACACAAACGGGCAGGCGCCACATCTGGCTTAGGAAACAACTTAAGTTTCTTCACCTTCATGAGGTGGGTGTTCTTGTTATAAGCACGCCCTTCTATCCACGCCTCCATGCGCGCTAGCTCTTCCGGTTTCTTGTCCAACTACTGCGCAAGCTACCGTAAGCCAGGCATGTCGAAATCAATCGTCTTGTCATCCCTGACGTCACACTCTTCCAGCTCAGGCTGGTCCAACTCATCGAGCGCTTCCGTTGGAAGGTCGATTTGATTTACGAGATCCGGTATCCTGGGGGTGTACAGTCCATGCACGTCCCCTATCTTAGGAACAACCCGTCCCGGAACTCCATCCAGGGCACTGACACGCCGATGCTTCATCGGTGGACACCCCTGCCGCTTCTCCGCGGACTTACTACCACTAGCGCTGGGGGCCGCACCCCCCCCCCCCCCCCTCCCCCCGATAGCTGGCGCAGGTGCTTTCACAGCCCGCTCTCGGTGTCAGGCAGCTTTCGGATACCGTAATGAACCACCGATCTGGCATCGATTCCAATCCTTGCCCTCAGGGGGCTAGGGGTTTGCAAACGCAACACAGGTCCCGCCCGACTGGACCGCTTACCTCGTTTGGAACGCATCCTAACCATCGGTGCCTCCTGCACCACCTCCTCCGAGCTGTCGCTCACATCCGAGTCCGTCTTGACTCCCTCACTCTCACTCCACGCGTAGTCTTCAACGAGTTGCCTCAGTATTAATCGCCGCATCCGCTGACTTACGTCCAAGCCTTCCTACGCTTTGTGCCATTTGCCCTCAACTTCTTCCTTGGTCACACTAGAGAGCCAGTCCTGCCCAGGCCCAGTATTGCCTTTACCCACGGCGGCGGCGGCACAGGGACATTCGTATCCTTGAGCCACTGCCACCGAATGAACGACTGCGGGACCACAATCATGCTGCTATTTGCCCACGTCAGTGCCCGCTCAGAGTGTCGCAACTGATCAAATCCGATGAGCACGTCACACCCCATGGGTATTTGCACAACCACATGGAATGTCTGCCCTTCCACCAGGGCAAAGCTGTCCTGGCCCACCAACAAATAAGCTTCCAGATGCTCATACCCGACCACATGGGAAGGATTTAAATCGCCCATGTTATCCAACCCGCTTAACGGTGGCCTGTCATAAAAATATCTGCTGCAACGCATCCCTCGTAATAAATTTATACGTACAGCCGGAATTTAGGGTTCATAAGCCGACGCCCGATATGTTGCCAACTGCATCGGGACCACGGCATCCCTTCAATTTCGGCTGCTGTCATGTCTCGCACCAACTGCCGGGCCACCAGAACCGCGCAACGTCAGACACTCCTCTGGCACATGCTCTGACTTCTGGCATAGGTAGCACCACGGAGGGTGCACATACCCTTGGCCCCTACCATGCTTTGCACCCTGCGCACCCGAGCTCGGGTACGTTAAGATAAAAACATTGCATTACACATAAGTGTTCTAAGTGTTTCGGAGCCAAATTAAGAACTCCGACAACCCGTGCTTCTCTACCATTCTTGTCACAGTATATGCAAACGTCGTTGGTCGAAAAATCTCTTCGACCAACTCAATCACCATATCCGTTTGCTTCTCTACCTCCTCTGGCACCTTGTCCAAGAAGTTTGGGACAGTCGCACATTGTGAGAGGAGGTATTACTCAGTCTTACTCTCCGTCATTGCCAGTATGGCATGGTACTGTTCATGGCAGTTTGTGTACCGTGTACAGAAACGGTTCCCTTCTGCCGCAATGAATTCCGGCAACGGCTGCGCCGCCGCCCTGGCGATCTCTGCACCCCTCGGGTCTATTGCCTTGGATTCTACCACTGCCATTGCAGGCCTCACTAAGACTGGGTCCGCCGAATCTGAGAAATGTTGGGCACGTAGCCCTTGCTACTGCAGTTAAGCGACTTCTACCGTCTTAGCCGCCCTCGCCGCACGCCTGACATTCTTCCTCTTCTCCGGCGCTGACTTAGGGCCCCTCTTTTTCGGGCCTTGAGGCTCCGGCGCTGCCTCACCGGTCTCACTAACGGCCTTTGCTAGACTTCCTACACGCCCCGCCGATGGCTGGGGCTCCTTGAACCTATTCAGGTCCACCACTGGCGCCTCCGCTTGGTACGCAGTCAAGCGCTTCTGTATGGCGGCCATATGGTCCGCCGCAGAGGCCACTGACGCGACTGGGTTATCGTCCCATGCCTCTACCTCCGAGATGAGAACGACTAACAATGCGCGCCTACACATGAACACGATGAGCTTTTGGAGGACCTCGAACATGCGTTTGAAGTCCTGCCTCAAGGACCTGGTGTAGTTTGCCGTCACCGCTGCCTTCTCTTCTTTGCTAAAACGCGGCTACACACCTGCATAAAGCCGTGCATAGGCCACCAGTCAGTCGGGATCTGCCCTCATCGCAGGCAGCATTCTTGACTGGAGTGTCATAGAGAAGTCCTGGCTGAGATATTGCTTTAAAATGCGCACTTTCTCAGCTATCTGACCTTCACCGAGCCCTGTGTGTGCAACCTTTGTGCGAACGAGATCAACGTGCTCATTCCACAACCACAGTTTGTCCGACTCACCCTCCGTGAGCACCACTACTGCCGGCTTGACCATCGTGATCGATGCCTAAGATTCTAAGATTATACCCAAGAATTCTAAGATTTCACCTAAGACCTTGGCCACTTCTATGTATTTATAGAGAAATAACACAGGCCACTATCTATTTATTTATCGTGATTCGCCTAACTACACTACCTAACTTGTAGGTGAACGCAGAAAGGCCTAGTACCAGTAAGTCAATGTCTTTGATTACTAATTTATAAGATCGTGATCTACAAGCTCTGCCCTGAAATTAATATCTGTATTTTACAGTGTCAAATTTTCTGTGTTCTCAAATTTTGAGGCCACGCGACCAGGGCCCAAAACTCTTAAAACCCTAACTCAGTTCGGATTAGGCCCCCTAAATCTATTACAATATATATATATATATATAGGGGAAATGTAAGATGCATTACTACGCGTACAGAGAAACTGATGGCGCAATGGGACCAAGCAATTGACTCGGGAGAACATCAAAGGAAGATTCTTTACATCGAATTATCAAGCAATATGAAAAGGAGAGGGAAGTTTCCTCTTCATGACCTCGACTAGTTTTGCCGGTATGTATGGGATTTCAGTGGCGCATCGAATGGATATAGAACATTTTCGAAATGTGTCTTACAAAGAATATATTGATACAAGGTCTGACTTCCATAGTTAATTTCGCTCTGTCGCCGCCCTGTCACAGATATCCTTACGTCCGTCCCAGATGCTGATAACAATCCGACACCTATACAGACAGAAACCTCTCCAGTGAAATGTGACATGGAAACCAGTGAAGGGATTTTCAGGCTGTATATCTCTGATAATTGAGTTAGTGTAAAGACCATATTTGAGTCACGTAATGATTATGTTCATATTCAAAACTTGTGCTTGCTGACATAATATGTATATTACTTGGTACAGAGACAAGTTCTTCTTCTATCGTTGCATACAAGGAATGCACATCCAGCCAAATGTGAACAACAGCTAGTAACCACAACGATAATGACTACGCATCAAGGTGTGTTTTACATTTTTGAGAAGGATTGACGTTTCTCTGTAAGGTGAAACTCAATAAAGTTTTCATTGATCCCCATATTTCTAACCTACAATTAGCAGTGAACTGCCAGGGAACTTAGAACATTAAACATATCAGGCCGAAATCCAATGAGGGGAAAACTGGCTGCAAACTGCAACGTACGCCTAGCAGCCGAGCAAAAGCAAGGCGCTTGGCAAGTCTAGAGTGTTAATGACTAGAAAAAACAAATTGTATCGCTCTACGTTGTTAAGAAAGAGAGCGCCGCCTTCTACAATAAGCAGTAGGAACAGTGAACATGTAGAAAAGAAGCAAAAGTAGATAGTCAACGTAGATATCAATGTAGCGATAGGTACTTTGGCAGAGTTAAAGTCATTTTATGTCGGCGGCTGGATCTTGCATGAGAACATTGTAGTACAATGCTGCAAACCAGGGGAGTGGATCAAAGACTCACTTATATCCGGGGTATTCTACCATTTATCATTATTACCCTCTCTGGCTGTTCGTTTCTGTGATGCTGATGCACACAGAGTATGGATGAAGGACTTATACAAGTATCGTAGGGCAGAAATCTTACGACTTAAGGGACCACCACAGGTGTTCGAAAGGATCTCTGTATTGATCCCATGAAATTATAGCAACGCACATTAGAACTTGGCGATTGTAACATTGTACACAACTAACGCTACAGTTACTATTTTAGATGGTATGCCAAATCCTGTTAGAGATGACGAACAATTCAATTATATCGTACGATGGATGAAATGATACCTCACAGATAATGTTACATGCAGCCTAAAAGTAGGCGGTAAAAACGAACACGATAGTTTTAGCTGTGGGGTTTTGCTTTGTGCCTATGCTAGAGCAGTATCAGAAAATCCACAACTCGTGCATGATTTTGAGGCATTGTCTTCGCACGAATAAGTCACCAGCGTCCAACATGACAACAGAATTAGAAAATGAATTTCCGAAACACTATTCTCGTATGTTCCTGTATAAGGGCATCACAGACCACACGAGTTGCGAACCAGGAAGTGAGATAAGCTTGAATGAAGCACCATATCAACACCAATCAATAAAAGACAACTTACTCCCCCTCAACACATTTATTCGTAAAAAATGTATATAGCTGAAGGCTCTTTAGTTTAAATTTAAGCAAATTTTGCACGATAAAGTCACTTATTGTACATAAACAAATTTGGAATTGTCGCTAAATGTACATTTGTACATATTTGATCCACATTTCAGTACGTTTTCATCGAAAAAAAAGGGTAAATGTACATTTAGTGACTTTTCCACATTTTCAAAGTGCATTTAGCGACTTTGTTCTTTCTTAAACCTCTCGTCATTGGAATTTGATTCGCGTGAGCCATTTCATCTGTCAGTTCGGGGGTTTTTAGACTGATTTCGAGGTTAAGCTGTATGTAAACGTTTAGTCGCTTGACGTTCTGCTTTTTTTTCGGTTTTGGTGGAGGGTCGGTGAACAGATTACACGGTGGTGCACATTCGTTTTTGTCCATAGCAGAATAATACAACAATCCAATTTCCACTGCTCCCATCTTGTCAACACCATGTTTGGCATCGGTAAGACGCTGAAACATCAATTTCATAACCCCCATCAACTCTAGTAGGAAATCTATTTGACTATTGGAGTCTGCATTGTTGCATAACACTCCGCCCATCAGTACGTCCTATACTTCTTGCTGAAATGAGATTTGAATTTTGAAGGCATTTTGCGCGGTATCATATTTCCTCGTAGTTCTGGACCGGCACTACCATACGAATCATCGCCGTCTCCGTCGCTATCATTATCAGAAGAAGAGTTGTTGCCCATGCCCATGCCCTTTCCAATCGTGTCATAGTCGAAGTTGTCCACATCACTCTCGTCGATAATAGGGAAGTTAATATCCTTAGTATTCTCTATCTCGAAATTCCGGACGGGGTCGAAGTACGTCTGATTGAACAAAGGTGCGCTTAGGTGTTGATATTCGGACACAATGTGTCTGCACAGAATCTTGAATTGATTCCAATCTCTACATGTGCATAAGTACCTGAGGTAGTAACGTAGGTAAGCAAGAGAGGGGCGCATGAGTGGTGAAAGAGAGAGGGGCATGAGCCGTGAACGAGAGAGGGGCATACACATGAGCGGTGAACGAGACAGGGGCCCATGAGTAGTGAACGATTGCCTTTCTCCTGTCCATATACTTGTTCTCAATTGGTCCTCTCTTCCGCACTTGTAGGAGGTGGTATCATTCGCCAGTTCGTTTATAGAATGTACATAATAAGATCTGGTCGTATCAACCTCTGTTGAAAAATGCTCGGTACATAGTT